GTCTGGGGGCTATTGATATTAGGTTTCTGAATGGAGTCCCTTGTCTGCATCAACTGCGCCAACTAAGAAGTGTCTTGATTTAGCCAGCAGGAAATGACACTGCAGCCAGTACCTAAATATAGCGTGTGTGCACGTATGTCTGTGATTATGTACACGCTTTCTTCCACTCAGAAGTTTCTCTCAGAAACTGGAGAAGAGACCCGTCACATAGAGACAGGGCTGGCACAGCTATAACTCTAAGCATAAAAGACCACTGAGTTGTTTTGCTCTGAATATCAGAATCACAGTGGGAGGTCTCATGCTGTAGACGTGAGACCCAGAAAAGCCCTTAATTTCGTTGTCTGGTTTGCTCTCATTTTTATGGGGGTGAGAGGCAGTAGTATTCGACTTGAGCTTGTCTTTCTTGGAAAGGAAGGAACAATTTCAACTTATTTGTTCTTTCAAGACAAATACATCTGAAGGAGCAAGGGGCATGAAAGACTTAACTTTTTAAAAATATTTTTCCTATGTTTCAACAAAAAAGCAGTATGAAATCTGTTTTGGTCAAACAAAGAAAATAGTCATAATCTTGAAGTGTGTGTGGCAGCTGGTGCTTAACGTGAGTTTTTGGAAACTTTTTTAAAGCCAGAGTGTGTTGGTGCTTGTAGTGACTGCTCAGTTTTGATAGTTGTTGAATATTCATTGTGGTTTGATGGAATTGAGCAGGAAGTACTGTGCATTTTAGGATTGCGTTTAAGAATTAAACTGATGTACTGGAAACTGAGATTGTATCAGCTCACCTGGGGAATTCTGTCCTCGGAATATCATCAGAAAGGTAAGCAGTATTGCCAAACGCAAAAATAAAAAATCATCAGTCTTGCCTCATAAAGCCATGAGATTAACTTTAAAAATATTATTTTTAAAAACCATTTTGATATTTTTCCTTTCTGACTTTTTGGGTTTTAACTTCATGTTTTCAAACCTCTCTCTGCAATCCCGAGAACTAGAAACTTACTTTAAAAACACAACAAAAACAAAAACTGAGATTCTAATGGAATCATACTATTCCAGAAATGGTGAGTTTAAGGAAAATACCAAACATTGCAGGAGTCATAACAAAAGTTGATTTGGAAAAAAGGTGGTTTGGGATGTTCTCTGAGGTTGTGAATAGTTTCTACTTGGCATCTGCAGAACAAACTTACTTTGTCTGGTAGCTATTCTGTTAGGGTATGTCTACATTGCATTCTTCTTCTGAGAGAGGAATGCAAATGTAGGTGAGCGAAATTGCAAATGAAGCAGGGATTTGAATTTCCTTCGCTTCATTTGCATAATCACGTCCGGCCGCTATTTTGAAATACCCTATTTCAAAATAAAAAATGCTGTGTAGATGCGGTTATTTTGAAAGAAACCCCTTCTTTCGAAATAACCGGTAAACCTCATTTTTTGAGGAGTAAGGGTTATTTTGAAAGAAAGGATTTCTTTCAAAATAACCGCGTCTACGCAGCATTTTTTATTTTGAAATAGCGGCCAGATGCGATTATGCAAATGAAGCACAGGAAATTCAAATCTGCGCTTCATTTGCAATTTCGCGCTTCATTTGCAATTTCTCTCGTCCGCATTTGCATTCCTGTTTTTTGAAGAGGAATGCAGTGTAGACATACCCTTATAGATGCTTCTAGCTCACTTAGGTGTGTCTAGAGAGCACCTGTCAGAATAAGCTAAACAATTTGCTCAAGCTACGCAACTTGCATAATTTCAAGTCTAAATCAAAAGCGCTTATTTTGAAATTTGACACTGTCTACACAGCGCCAAATTTCAAAATAAGGCATTATTCCAACAAACCCCTTAACCCTCGTGGAATGAGGGTTACAGGGATGCCGGAATAGTGCGCCTGCTATTTTGGGAAATAGCAAGTGCTTTTAAAGACACAGCGTTGCTATTTCAGGATACTTCCGGTATCCCAAAAGAGCAATGCAGTCTAGACGTAACCTTAATCTTAGATGGGTGTGTTATTTTTCAGCTATTAATTTGCAGTAAAAGTTGTTTGTCTCCTCCCTCAAATTTATTTCTGCCATTCTATGTGTTTGATCTTTCTGGAAATGTGTATGGCACACAAACCTTTTTCAGAACTGTGGAAGGTTCACTTAAGCCACTTCAAAATAGATTATAAAGTTAACAACAACTTGACATTTTGGTAGCAAGTCTTCCTAAATAACCTATACTTTGGAATTCTGTGGAAAAGGAGAGATGTATAGCACTCACGTGCTAAAAGTCACTGTTTTTAGCTTCCTCTTTCTCAAGTATCCCCAATATGAAGGATATTGCATTGAAGTTATGTTACCATAACTTAATATTTGAAGATATACACCCTTTCCTAGACCTCCTTACAATTCATACTTGTGGAGTCTTACTGGAATCTGTTCTGCTAATAGGGATGTAACTGTACTGGATTTCTCATCATAAGGGTATACACTGTTCCTCAACTATCTCTCAGGTCTTTGTGTCTCTTCATATTGCCTCTTTGACTTCGTTGTCAGTGTCTGTACTTTTGCTGCTGCTTGAGTGGGTGGAAATATAGAACATAAGAACAGCCATACTGGGTCAGACTTAATTCTAGCCCAATGTCCTATCTTCCGACAATATCAGGTGTCCCAAAGGTAATGAATAGAGCAGGTAGTCATTGAGGTTATGTTTAGACTACATGCCTCTGCCGACAGAGGCATGTAAATTAGACATACCAACATAGTCAATGAAGCAGGGATTTAAATATTCCCCGCTTTATGAGAATAAAAATGGCTGCCGCGTTGTGCCAGCTCAGCTGTTTGTCGGCTCCAAGTGACAGTCAAGACGGGGAGCGGTTGACAAGGAAAGCCATTGTCGACTGATCCCTTATGCCTCATGAAACAAGATTTACAGGATCGGTTGACAACAGCTTTCCTTGTCGACCTATCCCTGTCTTGACTGCCGGTTTGAGCCGACAAACAGCTGAGCCGGCACAACGCGGTGGCCATTTTTATTCTAATGAACAGCTAGTAGCCATTGATAGATCTATCTTCCATGCTTTTATCTAGTTCTTTTTTGTATTCAGTTAGGCTACGTCTAGACTGGCCACAAATTCCGGAAAAGGGATGCAAATCAGGTAAGTCAGCACAGGAAAATCCACGGGGGATTTAAATATCCCCCGCGGATTTAAATAAACATGTCCGCCGCTTTTTTTCCGGCTTGGGGAAAAGCCGGAAAAAAGCGTCTAGACTGGCGCGATCCTCCGGAATAAAGCCCTTTTCCGGAGGATCTCTTATTCTTTTGTTTGTTTTAAACCTGCTACCTATTAATTTCTTTTGGTGACCCCTAGTTCTTGTATTATGGGAAAAAGTAAATAACTCCTCTCTTCATTTTTTCCACACCGTCATGATTTTATAGAGATTTTATATAGATTTCACCATAGTAGTGGAATTTGTTTGCTGATGTAACATTCTTTTTTCTGCTTGGGTGTTCCACCTTTCTGCACTGGGTGCCTGTCTTACCTATTTAGACTATAAACTCTACAAACATGGTACAAAAGGATAGGACCTGTTCTGAATAATCACTGGTACTAGAGTTCACTCACCATTAGGTGTCCCCTCACAGCCAGGTGTGGCTTTGCCACTCTCTGGCTGGGCTAGAGCCGCTGCCTATCGTCACTCCACTGCTTTCTCTGCCTGGTAACTGAGCCCTCTAGCTAGGGAACCATCTTTAGTTCACCCTTTCCAACATCCTGGTAGTTCCAACCAATGCTTTTTTTGTGTTTAAAAAAAAAGTGCCAGCACTCCAGGGGAAAAATTGTTGAGCTCTGACTGGAGGTGCCAGTACTGTGTCTGGAGGTGCTAGTACTGCATACTGGGCAGTACCGTCACAAAAAAAGCACTGGTTCCAACTAAAAGTCCAACTGTGCCTTGAAGAGAAAGAAGCACTTCTGCTTTCTGTGGGGTTCTTTCTCAGCCTGTCCTTGGCTTAATTTGCATCTCCTTTGCTAGGCTTGAGGATCCTTTTTATGGGCTTATACCAAGCAACTGCTATGCCTTTACCTTTGCTGTGATCCCCCGGGCCACTTCCTACCTTTTGTACCATGCTCTGCTCTGGGGCTCCCAATCACTTCCCTGGTTAGGCAGGGTCCCTCCCAAACCTCCACACATGGCGAGCTTCCTCAGTCACTTCTTTGCTTTGGTCAAGGTCTCCCTAGCCTTCCTGCCTTTTGGTCCAGCTCTGAACTTTCTATCTAGCTCTCATTTCAAATCTTTCCCCAGCTGGACTTTATCCCCACTTAAATCTGGTTGTCTGTGGGGCCTCATTACCCCCTGGTGGGACTTAGCCTGATTACCGAATATATTAGCCCTAGGCTCTTCAGGACACAAGGCAAGCTACCCTGTTATATAGTCCTTTTCTATTTTGGATGCCTTTTTAATGTAGTGACACAGAGCATATAGCAATTGAAGTGAAGCTGGTACCTTTAATTGAATGCATTTTCCTTATAGCTTATCCCTTTCTTAATTGCAGCTCATAATTAAAAATAATACATTTTACCCACATGTATAAATAGAATTGCATACCAAGCCAGGCATCTTACTTAAATGTGGCTCTGAGCTGTGTTTGCTGGCTCTATTCCATAGACTTGGTGTAGTGCCTGGCTTGCTTCCCTGCTGGACACAGCCTGCACGTGGGAAGCAAGCAGGGCTGCACTGAAGGGTCAGGAAACGGCTCTGTCTGGCGAGGGCACCAGTACTTGGGGAATGCAGCTTTCCACTCCCTTTTGACTGGTCTTTCAAGGTGATCCCATCCACTTTTTTGCTTAGAGAATGAAATCTGCAGAAGCTGTGTCCTGACATCTGAGACCACCCAGCTGCTGCAAGGAGTGGAAAAGCTTCCTTAGCTGCCAGGGGGAGATTGCACCTCCCCAGTGTTTTGTTCCTGGTTTTTACTGTTTTTTCTTCCATTTTTAATTTAAAAAAAATAAAAATCCACCAATTCCTGGGCAATTTAAAATACAAACTGAAAGGGAAGGGCCTTAAATATAGTTGGTTTCAACTCCTTCAGCCTGGGATGAAGATTTTTTTTTCCTTTACTGCTGTTAAATCCTAACAGACATCAAAGGTAATGCAGAGAACTCTCCTAAAAATTAAAGGAATTTACAACATTGAACTGGTCTATTTAAATTAGTCATTTAAAAAATAATCAGTCTGACAGTGGTGGATGGAAGTAACAAGTGATCTGTTTGGAACTTCATTAACAAAACATGTAGGTTTCCTTTCACTGATGACATGAAGGATCATTTGAATGAAAGCTAGCAATTTCCTTGGAGGAAGCATGATTCTTCTTGTCTTAATTTCTAAACACAACAAGACTAACTTGCCTGATGCCCGAGATGTTTCAATTTGCATTCCGTTCTCTACCTTCTCCAGTCTGTTCTCTACCTTCTCCTTACACTGTCCAGAGCACATTGGGAAGCTCCACCCTTACTACGCTTCTAGCTACAGTAGCTAGATTAAGCACATTTATTTTCTCAGTGACGCCTCTTCTTACTTTAGGAGCGATGCTTTTCCTATTGGTTCCCAGTCCTGTGAGTAATAATCACATGGAATGCCTTGTGCTGGGAGTGGAATGCTTAGACTGCTTGTGTGTGTCAGTTTCTTTTGCTTCCTGTCAAGCACAGCATGATCCTGGGAACGGTTCTACTACAGTCCAGCGGTTATGGCACAAAAGAGAATCTGCTTTGCTGCCTCTGCAATGAATCCTCTGATTCTGGTTTATCTGATTTCCGAGGTATGGTGTATGGAAATGCTGTACAACAGCCCTTAATGCTTGTGCTGCTCTGTATTCTGAAGAGAGGATTTGAAAAGAAAGAAATGTCTCTTTATTCCTTATAGGACAAGATTAGCTATAGCAAATCTGAGGTTTTCTGTTTTTGTGAAGTTTTTTTAAAGACTATCATTAAAATGTGTCATATTGATCAGTTATACAGATTGTATTTCAGAGGCAGAGAGAACGTTAGTGTCTGCTATGATTCTGAAATGTCAGGTTTAGGACTGTCCTGTAACTTTTCTTTGTTCAGTGTTGTGCTGGGAAGAGAAGTAACAGTAGCGTGGGAAAAAAGTACCTTGTAGATTGGCTGAACCGGAAAGTGTGTGTGGCAGGAAGGGAGTAAATTCTCCAATGGGAACAAAGAACAGGAAGGGGAAAGGGATGGATGAGACACCTTTTCCCTTGATCGAACATGATGTAATTAGTCTGGAAGAGAAGTGATTTTCTAGATTGTAAGGCTTCATTCTGGAAGAGATTAATGCAGGAGTACTATAACATTAATTACTTTATGATCCAGCTAAAAGTTTAAAAGGAGCTAGAGTTTAAAAACTAGAGGTTTCTAGTTTGACTAGGAAGCAATGATAGTTCCACATCTGCTTTGAATTCCTATTGGCAACTCTGTATAGTACCACAAATGGTTTGAAGTGGGCAATGTTGCTCAAGGCTATGGAATAAGCAACAGGTGGCATACCTCCTGCTGCCTTTGGTCTGGGCTTTCCCTCTGGTTAAAGTATCCTCTGTTGAGCTGTGTGTGGGCAGGCTAGAAGATCTTGACTGGTTGTGGGGCTTGATTCAGCAGCATTACTAACTGAATTGATATTTTGCTCCTGCTATGAAGTTAACAGCTAGATTCATAGTAACTGGATATACATCTGCTCTAGCCATTCTCTAAGTATGGGCTGGTTGCTCATTTTATTAGCCACCATGGCTTGTGTGTGTGTGTGTGTGTGTGTGCACGCGCTCTTTTACAGTCTCGGTCTTTAAAGCAAATGCATAATTGCAACCAGGAATACACTTGCACGCTGACTGATGTAATTTGAGGCTAAAAGTACAAATGTCTTTAAAGAGCGTGCAAGCCCTCATATCGCATGTGAGCATTTCTGTCCCTTTTAAGGGAGGACTGTCTAGGCTAAAGTAGAGAGGGGCTGAGAGCCAGAAGACTTCCTGTGTCTCAGGCTTGGTGTGTGCAGGAGTGGTCACATGATCACACGCAGTGTGCTAGGGCCTGGGCCGGGGTGGAGACTCAGGGCATGAGCGAGGCTCTGGGGTGGGGCCAAAAATGAGGGGTTTAGCGTGCCCGAGGGGGCTCCAGGCTGGGGCAGAGGGTTGGGGTGTGGGAGAGAGCGAGGGCTCTGACCGCAGGTGCAGGCTCTGGCGTGGGGCTGGGGATGAGGGGGCTATGGGCCTGTGGCAAGGGCTTGGAGTGCAGAATGTTGACCATGGGCAGTTCCCGTTTGTGGCGCAGCAGGGCTGAGGCAGGCTTCCTTCCTGCTCTGGATCCGTGCTGCTGCCAAAATCTGCCGGATGTTCCTGATTGTGGCCATGGGGGATGAGTTGTGTGTGGCTTTATGCCCTGTCCTTGCCTGCAGATGCTGCCTCCATTGCCCATGATTCCTGGCCAGTGGTAACTTCTGGGGAGAGGGAGGCCTACAGGCAATGCCAATGGGAAGAGCTTCCCTGATTGCTGGGAGCTGGTGTTCACCGCTTCAGCCCAGCGTGGGGGAATGGCAGTGCGCAGAGCTGCCTCCCCCGGCCAGCAGCCGTCCCTTTCTGAGAGCAGCATAGGGCCATAACATGCAAGCACGCTGCCTGAGCCCTGCTGGCCGCTGGACTTCTAGCAGCCTGGAGATCTTTTAGCTCTGGGCTGCAGCCCCTTAAGCCCCTGCATTAATCCAGCCCTGGACGTGTGACCTTGCCCAAGGCACTAAAACACTTTGAATGCCTTTGATGGAAGGCGCTACAAGAGTGTAATGAATGTATTATTTAATTGCTATTTATTTTTACCATTAAGACAGCTGCTTGTAGGAATTGGTGCTCCTGTCTGCTGCCACCAACACAGTTGTGTGCTTAATTATTTGACGTGTATATACGTGGCAGCTGTGCTAATATACAGACACTTGCGTATAATTTATCCATTGGGATTTTCTCATGTCTTATGGTACCCGTGTGGTACTTTCGTACTCTCTAAAACCAATTGGTATCAATAAGGCTACAGTAATCCATGTGCAAAAAACATTGAGCATACCTGCCGCAAAACATTAGAGAGGAAAATATCACTGGCTTAACACCTAGCTGCAGGTCTGTTGTTGCTAGTGGAGCTTGTAACTTTTGAGCCTGAGGGGCTCTACTGGTGCATAAGATACATTCCTGACCTAGACAAAAAGTTATGTTACTCACCAGTCCCAAAATCAGCAGATTATGCTGGGAAAAGACATAACCTCTGTGAGACCTCAAATACAGACCACTCGCTCCAGACATAAGCTTACAGTCCTCCTGAGAAGCATATTTGTGATTTCAGGATAGTTATAAACTCTGCCAGCATAACAACAGTGTATGTAACTATACAGGAGTGCCGCTAAGAAATAAAGGATTGTGAAATTAACAGTCACAATCACAACCAGTCATGTTTACTACAGTAGCATGAAAATGTAGTATGTGGGGGGAGAAGAAAGTAGAAAAATGGAATGCCTCTCACAGGAAAATCCCTGTGTTTTGATTTCCTGGCACTGAGCCTTGACCTCCAGTGGATCCATGCCAAATGCTTGCCGGCTGCTGGGACCGTGCTCAGGCCCTTCCCTATTTTATTTCTCACTGGCTTCCCCATTAGGGACATCAGCATCTTCATCCCCATTAGGGATGTTAAAATGCAATTTTGTAAACCTGTAGACACTGAATTTTTCAGTGGCTACACATTTACATGGAGGGGCCAGGCGAGAGCCGGAGCTCATGGGGAGCCGGCCAACTCCCGTCTGACACTCCCCCTTCCCTACCCTCCGCACTGTATAAGATTTCTCAATCTTACCCGAACTTCATCTTTAGAAACTTATGTTCCTTTCTCTTGTGGAAGAACTTCCAAAATGTAGGAATGAGTTTGAAGAAAGCTGATGAAATTCAGTTTCAACACAATTTACTATATATTTTCATATTTGCTTTAACAACCTTGATATCCTGTGGTCACACAGGTTGTGTTTGTGATGCCTAGACTGATATACAACATCCATTCTTGCAAAATCTGTACTTTTTGTTCCATGTAGTGCTCACAATGCTGCTGTAGCAGCAACTGTTTGTGTGCATTGGGTTTTGACAAATTCACAGCTGTCGTACATAAATTCCCTCCTCTTGCTTTGTTTGTCCAGAGGCCCTTCACCGCCCCTATGGGTGTGATGTTGAACCCCAGGCACTGACTGAAGCCATCAGGTGGAGCTCTAAGGAGAACCTGCTTGGAGCCACTGAGAGCGATCCCAATCTTTTTGTTGCACTTTATGATTTTGTAGCAAGCGGTGACAACACACTCAGCATCACCAAAGGTAAGTTGTGCTGTACTTTTTCCACATCTTTATGTGGCTTCAGTTTGTGCTTATCAAGGTGTTGAGTCACAGATCTGTGATAGCTGGGATGGTAGCATGTGCCTGTCCTAAATTAGAGGGAAAGCATGGCTCAACATGAACTGTAGTTTCTCTGCCGCCTTAAAGGGGAAATGTATTCCACGCTAACAGCAGCCGAGTTGCAACACTGCAGCTATGCCAGCGTAGAACTCCTACATCGACGGGTGGGGCTTCTCCCATCACTGTAGTTAATCCAACTCTCAAGGAGGCAGTAGATAAAAGAATTCTTCCATTGACCTCTCAACCTAGCTCTGTTGATGGTGGAGGTTAGGCAGGCGTAACTGTGTCATACTGTGTGTACCCTGGCAACCGAATGACAAAACTTTTGTCCCTCAGA